GAACTGCATATTGTTATACGACTGAATTTATCGTAAGGTTTCAATGATTAAGGCGTGTAATTGTATTTTTTCTATTCATTGGCTTTTTGTTGGTGCTTTTTGTTTTCTGTAGTCTCAAGATGATCAGTATAAGGCTTCGTGAGTTAGTAATAATAACCATTTTGTAATAATATTATCTATGGTCGCAGGAAACACTCACACTGTCCCCTTCGACTCTAGAGGTTATTATTACAAATTTGACATGCATAACAGTGGTTTCGAAAAAGTTGGAAATTCGCCGAAGAGATGATCAGCCGTCTGTGCCTTTGGTTTCCAGGATGCTGAGAATGTTCTGTTTCATTACGTTTCGACGTATGCAACTAAGTGAGTTAGGTACAATGACGATCGATGTGCCTCGCTGTTTTCTAATGGCTACTTCGATTTACGTGCTATATAAAGGGAACAAAACGGCCTCTTTCACATCTCAACTTCGAATGTGATAGTGATCACTGAACTAACATTACAGCGGAACCATCCAAAACATTCACTCAAAACATACTGAGCGCTCTTACACCCAACATAATGAATTATTACTAAATACGGGTCTGAGCAAAATAACTGATCGGAAACTTTATGCGAACAGTTGAGTTAAGGTGCGAACACTAATTTTTGGCGACAATCATTAATTGTTGAGACCACCGCCATGACACTAATTGTAGGTACGCGATTGCGGCACCTCTACTTCGGATGAAAACTATGCTACCTGCGCTGAAGGAGCATTGCGGTGAAACAAGTACTTCCTGTGAACCGTATAACATACTACGAGGCGCAGAAGTAGAAGACGTTTTACGGCTTGTAGGTACGCGAGAAAAGTTGCTACGACTTTGTTGTGGTCGCTCCTGAATGCTGCTCTTCTTTATCATGATGTAGTGGATGCTGCGATGAGGTGTCTGCTGCGTGTCCCATGTCGTCATTACTCGGTACACAATATCTCTTAGACTCAATCCGAATCAGCTATCACACATCATCAACACATCTCGGCAATGCTAACTGGAAAAGAATTACAAGCTTTAGCTGACCTGTATGGCATCCCCTGGCCAAGACGACCACAAACAGAAGAATAGACTCTTTCCACGCAAAGATTAATCACATCTGCTCACCGACACTGGTGGGTCAATTGGGTTTGTTGTAATGATTGGGTTTTTTCTTGATTAATCTTCAACTGATTCAGTTCTCGATGTGAGACTTACTCGCATAAGGGCCTTCTAGCTTGATTATAACCGTTTAATATCACCAGCCACAAATTCGGGAAATGGCCTGTGAATGGTCTAGAGAACTTCCGTGTAGCTCCGCCTTCACTGACTAAGACTTCCTCTTTCTCACTTTCAACTTGTTGAACCATGTTCTGGCTTGGACTTGTCTGTATATTCACTTTTTGTCAGGCAGAACAGATCAAAAAATTACCTGGAGCAAGCTCTAAGCTCAAGTCTAAACACTACTCCGGATTCTTCAACGTTACCAATTAACACTTTCTTCATTATTGGTACGCTATCTTGCTACGGATTTATACCTACATAAGTGATCCTCTGCTGTGGCGTTTCCCTTATAGTTCGCATTTTTAGGTTCGTAGAGTCTCAAAATAATCCAAAAAAGGACCCGATAATCTTCTGGTTTAATGGCGGTCCGGGATGTTCTTCACTGGATGGACTTTTCAACGAAATGGGACCGTACTTTGTAAATCTCGACGGAAAAGGTCTCAGAGAAAATCCTCATTCTTGGACTGAGGTAGGTACAGAGATTATCTTCAGTAGTTTTCAGCCGCTCTTGGAAATTGTAACTTCCTCCAGATGGCTTCAATGGTATTCATTGAGTCCCCTGTAGGGGTTGGATACTCATATTCTACCGATGGGAACATCACCTCCGACGATGACCGGACGTCGCTTGAAAATTACGAAGCTATCAAACTATTCTTTACGGTGACTGTCAACGGTTGGCAAAATGGTAACCTGCTTGAATAACTTCAAATCACAGACGTTCCCTCATTTCCGACACCATGCTACTTTCATCATGGGCGAATCTTATGGCGGTGGTTACATGCTCGCCCTGCA